TGGACTTGCAAAACAATGAAATGAAAATACAATATAGAGAGTGGATCCTTGCTTTCAACAAACAGATGTGTAGCACTGAACTGGACAAAAAGTCGAGAAAATTGCGCATCGGGTTCGCGTCGCGCCAGAAACCACTCCCATTCAATGTAAGCACACCTCCCTCCCATCCGCCCCTTACTCCCCCCAACACACGATCGAACCAAACCCTGCAAGCACAAAGTTACTGCCTGTGCCACCCCCACCCCCACGTTCTCAAACGCCCCAAGCAAGCTACTCACCCTGCGGCTTTCGCTTCCACGCACGCGCATCCTTCCTTGCACATGGTCTTGCTGCAAACACCGACCAAAAATATGTCCCCACCAGACTTACCTATCAGCGACCAGTGGCCGGACTTACTTATCACCGACCAGCGTGGTTAGACCTACTTTATCACCGACCATCCCCCAGACTTGCGTTATCACAATGTACGCCCGTGCTACTAAGAGGCTCCACTGCCAGTGGTCCTATAAAGCCACGACCCGAATGTTTACTCAGCACCAGATCCTTTCTAACCAGGACAAAGGCTTTAACCAAGCTTCATATTCGCAAATTCCTCGCGCTCCCTTCCAATTCACGGCATCACCCTTGCCTACTCCCTTAGTAGTCGGCAACCATTCCAGCAATCGGCGCAGGGATGGCGGGCTCCAGGCTTTTCTTCGCCCTGCTCGGGCTCTCCCTTGTCGTGTCGCTAGCGCTGTCGCCGACGTGTCGCGCGAATGAGATCTTCACGGTCGAGCCAGAAGACGCCGACGACGATGTGTCGGACGCCGACATTCCCGCCGACGCGTCGCTTCCTGGTGCGTGCTTCACTATGTCGCGCTCAGTGACGCCGCCATGCGCCTTCGTCCTGTATTTCCTTGCTCTGGCCGATCACGGATTTTGGCGTGAACTTCCTGATTGAAATCATTGAAAAAGGGCATTTCAGTTTCTTGCCTCCGTTCTACCAGCTCTCGTTAGCAAGCTTTCGGCGCAAACTGGAGGTTCCTGCCATTCCCTATTTATTTAGTGTTACTTTGTTAATTTCAACTTGTTTCTTTCCTCCCTGTTTCCAGATCTCGTGAGCACGATGTTGGGCGCGAGCAGGCGGTTCCTGTGGTCGCCTGAGGTGCGTCGCGCGCTGTCGTGCAAGTCGGAGTGCGAGGCGAAGAACAAGGAGTGCAACGAGTCGTACAGCGAGTGCAAGCGCGAGAACAAGGACGACGAGCACAAACACCACAAGTGCACGCACACGTACAAGAAGTGCAAGAGAAAGGCCAAGAAGTGCCGCTCCAAGTGCGATTAGGGGAGCAGAGTGTTGTTAGAGCTTGAGTACAGCGCTCGAGTCGGCCACTGCGCATCATAGTTGGTAGGAGCAAACTTCTCTATCTTCGAATATTTACATAATATATCAAGCACACTAGGTACGGTAGTACCGGTAGGGTATGCTATTTTTGCCCAGCATGCAATATTATTGAATAGTCTTGGGACACAATACAGTATGCAATGCATTACATCCACAGTCGTAACTGAAGTCTTGCAGTGCAGGAAACAAACAGGTGTTCATAAAGTGGGCACACAGGGAGGCACGACCCCAAGTGAAACAAACAGGGTACGGGCACATAAAGTGGGCTTGTTTGTGAATCCGTCTCTGAGAATTTCAGATTTGGTGAGTACAGTTGGGGCAAGTTGGACTGGCAGTGTAGCAATTACCGTACAACACAACAAAAAGACTGATGCATAAAGTTGTTTTGACTAAACATCAGGAGTTGTCCTTCATAAAATTGAATGATGTACATGGCATAAAGTAATCAGGAGTTGCTCTCAACTGAATGCGGACCGTCATTTCTTGGGCTGCTGCAGCTATACTGAGTGTCTACACTCACTCACATAAAAGTTTCCATTCCTAGCAACTAGAAAGGAATTTGATGTGTATAAACACCAGCAAAACATGCGGCACAGCCTGACGGCTGAAAGGGAAACCCCTCGTGCCTCTTCAGGGCTCGAGAGCAGCCCATTCTATGTGCAGCTCTTTTGAAAAATATCAGCCCAAACCTGAAACTCAACGCTTAATCAACCGAACCCTGCAACAACTCCATATCTTCCCTTTCCACCCGGTATGCACTTCCCGTTCACTTCACACTTCACTCCTGAACGCTGCTGCATCTCTACTGCAGCCTCTTTGCCCCTGCTGCATCTTCACAGCCTCCCTGTGCCTGCTGCCCAGAGCCCACCCTCTGTTGCTCCCTTCACTTCCAATAGGGGCCATGTTAGTAACCCACACTTGGCTTCACTTGCCCTTTTATAAGTGCCTGAAAAACAGCCTGCTGCAGCGCTGTGACCTGCTGCACACACTCTGCTGCACCACTCACTTCCACTTGAGGTCGTGCCAGTCACCCACACTCGGCATCGTCTGTCCTTTTCTTTAGGCGCCTTAAGACTAGCCTGCTGCCCAACCACGCCCCCTGCCCGCATTCTTCTGCACCCCTCACTTCCATTTGAGGTCGTGCCAGTCGCCCACACTCGGCTTCGTCTGCCTCGCTTCCCCCTGCCCGCACTCCACCTTGATCTGAAACCCCAGCTGCCCCAGCACCACATCCAACACTGTGTCCCCATGCGCATGCCCGTGTGCATGCGCATGAGCATGTGCATGCCCATGCCCTTGTGCATGAGCATGAGCATGAGCATGAGGATGCCCGTGGGCATGCGCATGCCCATGCACATGCCCTGCTGCTGCTGCTGCCCCTGCTGCCCCTGCTGCTCCTGCTGCTGCGCCTGCACCTGCCATTGCTGCCGCTGTTGCAGCAGCCGCAGTGGCAACAGCAGCGGCAAAAGCAGCGGCAGCAGCAGCAGGACCGTCACCAGCGCCACCTGCACCACCAGCAGCAGCAGCAGCACCAGCATCACCAGCACCAACAGCACCACCAGCACCAGCAACACCAGCAGCAGCCGCAGCTGCTCCTGCCACTACACCGCCCCCCCCTGCCTGGAACCCATAAATCTGCCCATCCCTTATCCCTGCAACACCAACCGCCTGCCTCTGCCACTGCTCCACCACACCCCCTCTAGCTGCTCCCACTGGAGCTACAGCACCAGCAACACCACCAGCAACACCACCAGCAACACCACCAGCAACACCACCAGCAACACCACCAGCAACACCACCAGCAGCAGCGGCGGCAGTGCCAGCAGCACCAGCAGCGGCGGCACCGGCAAAGTCAGGCCCAGCACCAGCGGCGGCAAAATCAGGCCCAGCACGCAGCCCACCCGCACCTAACGCAGCGGCTCGGCCGCGGGTCATGTCTCGGTAAGCCAGAACCATGCGCCTCGTCTCCTCCACTACCTCTGCATGGCCTTGTGGGCCCCATTGCTCTTGCGTGGGACCCACAGGCAGAAATCTATCCACAACAGCATCGGCAAGACCGGCAGCAGCAACAGCAGCACCACCAGCAGTGGCAACAGCACCACCAGCAGCGGCAGCAGCAGCATTACCTGCAGCGGGTTGGGTTTGTTCAAATCCAATTTCTCTCTCTGCCACTCCCTGCCCCAGGTCCATAGGCCCAGCACCTACCTCCACTGCCTCCCCTGCTGCCCCCTCTGCCCCTGGTGCCCCTGCTGTCCCTGCTTCTTGTTGCAAGCCAGCATCTGCAGGTACTGCTGCTGCTGCTGCTACTGTGCTGTCTACCCCTGCTGCTGCTGCTGCTGCTGCTGCTGCTGCCTCCACAGCCGCCTGGCCTACAACTCGTACCACTACACCACCTGCTTCTTGTGCCTCTGCTGCTGCTACTTCTTCTTCTGCTGCCGCTGCCGCTGCTGCTGCTGCTGCTGCAGCTGCTTCTTGCGCAGCCGCTGCTTCCACAACAGCTGCCGGTGCTGCTCCCACTGCTGCTACTTGTGCCACAGCAGGAGCTGCAGCAGCACCCGCAGCAGCACCTGGTGCTGCCGGTGCTGCCGCTGCCCCTGCTCCTGCCCCTGCTCCTGCCCCTGCCGCTTCCCCTGCCGCTTCCCCTGCCGCTGCCCCTGCCGCCCCTGCTTGGGCGGCGGCGCCATCTGGTTGGGCGGCGGCGCCATGCAGTTGGGCGGCGGGGTCGACGTAGCGAGCGCGGGAGGTGACGGTGACGATGCAGTCCACTGCCACGTGGGTGTGCGCGAGGGCGCCTGGCAGGGCGAAGTGGCGTTGAAATGTGGCGTACACCGTGCTGCCAAGAGGGGGATAGACATGGGAGGGAGATAGAGAGTCAGTTGGTGGGGCAGGGAGGTGACGGTTGCGATGCAGTCGACTGCCACGTGGGTGTGCGTGAGGGCGCCTGGCAGGGCGAAGTGGCGTTGAAATGTGGCGTACACAGTGCTGCAGGGAGGGGGGTGAGGGAGAGAATGATAAGGGGGGATTAGCGGGAAAGCGTGGTTGGTTTGTGTAAGTAAGGGCTCCTGGCAGAGAGTAGGTGGCGTACACAGTGCTGCAGCGAGGGGGGTTGCAGGTTAGACACGAGGGAAATATTGGATTGGAGGGAGGGGGAGATAAAAGGGGGGGATCCGAGGAAGAGAATTGAGAGGAAGAGCACTGTGGAAAACACAGATAGAGTGTCGGGTTGAGTGCAGGAAAGGCACGGAAAGGCACGGAAAGGCACAGAAAGCCACAGAAAGGCACAGAAAGGCACGGATTCAAAGCAAAAAAGGGAAACGAGGCAGTACCCCCAATGGTGATGTGCTGCGCGGCAACTGAATCAAACAACACAGGCAAAGCGCTGCGCTGCGACTGCAAGGCATGGAAGGGAGGTAAGGAAGCAAGCAGTACCCGCCCATGGCGCTAGGCGGAGAATGAGGCAGTACCCTACCCGCCAATGGTGCTGTGCTTTGCTGTGCGGTGGTCGCATTGAGTAGCACAGCAAAGCTGTCGTCGCGACGCTTAAGCGCCACACACGACACCTGCAGCTGCCAGTTGGGTAAACTGAAGGCACCTGGAGGGGAACGAGGCAGTACCCTACCCGCCAATGGTGCTGTGCTGTGCAGTGGTCGCCATGAGCAGCACAGCAAAGCTGTCGTCGCGACCCCTCAGCGCCAGACACGAAACCTGCAGCTCCCTCGCTGCCCGCTCCAACGCCCTCCTGCTCAGCCCAGGCTTACCGTCCACCAGCACTGTGCCCACCTGCAGTTGAGAGTGGTTTGAACGTGGGATGTGGGGAAACGCAAGAAGAAAACTTTCAAGACCACTCACATGCCTGCTCAGCCCAGGCTTACCGTCCACCAGCACTGTGCCCACCTGCAGTTGAGAGTGGTTCACACGTGGGGAACATAGTACAGGAAAGGGGCTTTTAAGTCCACTCCACTAACGAGGCTGCTCAGCCCAGGCTTGCCGTCCACCAGCACTGTGCCCACCTGCAGTTGGGGGTTGTTTGGAGGAGGGAGAGAGAAGAGGAGAGGGACTTGTGTAAGCCGACTCACCATGCTGCTAAGGCCTAGCCTGGCCTGTGGCCACCTGGGTGGTAGCATGGTTTGTTTGGAGGAGGGAGAGAGAGAAGAGGAGAGGGAGAAGGAGCTCTGAGCGCCACAAGCGATACCTGCAGCTCCCTTGCTGCCCGCTCCAACGCCCTCCTGCTCAGACCAGGCTTGTGATAATAAACTGTTTTTGAGGACGTGCCCGCTCCAACGCCCTCCTGCTCAATCCACAGGCCTGCTCACTCAGACCCAGGCTTGCCGTCCACCAGCACTGTGCCCACCTGCAGTTGAGTTGAGAGTGGTTCACACGTGGGGAACATAGTACAGGAAAGGGGCTTTTAAGTCCACTCCACTAACGAGGCTGCTCAGACCCAGGCCTGCCGTCCACCAGCACTGTGCCCACCTGCAGTTGAGAGTCGTTGGGATGTGGGATGTGGGGAAAGGAAAAGCGGGACGAAGACTAACAAGACCCATTCACACGCGTGCTCAGCCCAGGCTTGCCGTCTACCAGCACTGCTCCCACCTGCATTGGCGGGTTGTTGCATGTACAGAGCGAAAGAGAAGGGGCTTTTGGGTTCAGTTCAGCTCAGTTCAGTTCAGCTCAACCCTGGACTGAGTCCACTCCACTCACACGCCCGCTCGGACGCCGTCCACGAGCAGCACTGTGCCCCCACCTGCAATCGGAACATCACTCGGACGCCGTCCACCTGCAATCGGAACGGAACAGCAGGCACGCTTGCGAAACCCGAGCACTGCAGTCGTTTGCCCATCAGTCGTGCAGTGCAGTGCAGTGCAGTGAGTGACCCAGCCTCAACGCTCCAGTCCAGAGGGACTAGGGCCGAGCCGAGCCGAGGAGCTGACCAGACGTTTGTGAAACCCATGCATTGATAATAAATAACAACGAATGAGTCGGGTGGGCTGCTGCAGATGCTCCAGGTCGCTGGTCCTGCTGATGCGACCCAAGGGGATCGATAAAATCAAATGGCTCAATTCCTCTGTATCCCAAACTCCCTGCTACAAAAATCTACTCACATCCATGTCTGGCACTGGCAGCCTGAAGACGAACGATTCGGGCTGCTGCAGATGCTCCAGGTCGCCGGGCTGGCCGCGCTGATACGACCCAAGATCCATTCTCATATCCCAAACAACATCCTATGAACATTTACTCACATCCATGTCTGGCAGCCGGAACACGAACGATTCGGGCTGCTGCAGATGCTCCAGGTCGCCGGCCCCAGTGATGCGACGCGAGAAGATGGGCGAACCACGGTACGACACGTCAACAAGGAAGATGACGTCAGACACAAACTCGTCCACGTGGCAGGCTGGGATGGTGTGCTGGACCTCCCCACAGGGTGTGTGGAGCAGACGGCAGAACCTGGGAGGTTTGGTGGGGTGGAGTGCGGTGGAGAAGCGGCATGTGAAGGTATCATAACAAGTATTGTGAGACGCATGATGATAGGCCATGAGAACAGACTGAGCAGAGGATAGAGTGGGGTGGGGTGCGGTGGAGATGGAACATGCTAAGATGTCATAATTGGTCCCATAAGGGGTATGACGACAGGCAACACTCTCTGTAAAGAGCATGGGTGGGGTGAGGTGAAGAAGAAGAAAAAAGAAAACGATTTTTCACCTCTCGTACCCGCAAATTGCTCGTATCGTATGCTCACCTCTTGTATTCCCCACCAGTCGCCCATGTTCTCACCTCTTGTATTCCCCACCAGTCGCCCATATTCTCACCTCTTGTATTCCCCACCAGTCGCCCATATTCTCACCTCTTGTATTCCCCACCACTCGCCCATATTCTCACCTCTTGTATTCCCCACCACTCGCCCATATTCTCACCTCTTGTATTCCCCACCAGTCGCCCATATTCTCACCTCTTGTATTCCCCACCACTCGCCCATATTCTCACCTCTTGTATTCCCCACCACTCGCCCATATTCTCACCTCTTGTATTCCCCACCACTCGCCCATATTCTCACCTCTTGTGCCCTCAGAACGGTTCTCACCCCTTAGGTTCTCACCCCTTAGGTTCTCACCCCTTAGGTTCTCACCCCTTAGGTTCTCACCCCTTAGGTGCTCACCCCTTAGGTTCTCACCCCTTAGGTTCTCACCCCTTAGGTTCTCACCCCTTAGGTTCTCACCCCTTAGGTTCTCACCCCTTAGGTTCTCACCCCTTAGGTTCTCACCCCTTAGGTTCTCACCCCTTAGGTTCTCACCCCTTAGGTTCTCACCCCTTAGGTGCTCACCCCTTAGGTTCTCATCCCTTAGGTTCTCACCCCTTAGGTTCTCACCCCTTAGGTTCTCACCCCTTAGGTTCTCACCCCTTAGGTTCTCACCCCTTAGGTTCTCACCCCTTAGGTTCTCACCCCTTAGGTTCTCACCCCTTAGGTTCTCACCCCTTAGGTTCTCACCCCTTAGGTTCTCACCCCTTAGGTTCTCACCCCTTAGGTTCTCACCCCTTAGGTTCTCACCCCTTAGGTTCTCACCCCTTAGGTTCTCACCCCTTAGGTTCTCACCCCTTAGGTTCTCACCCCTTAGGTTCTCACCCCTTAGGTTCTCACCCCTTAGGTTCTCACCCCTTAGGTTCTCACCCCTTAGGTTCTCACCCCTTAGGTTCTCACCCCTTAGGTTCTCACCCCTTAGGTTCTCACCCCTTAGGTGCTCACCCCTTCGGTGCTCACCTCTTGTACCCGCCGCTCGCTCGTATTCTCACCTCTTGTACCCGCCACTCGCTCGTATTCTCACCTCTTGTACCCGCTACTCGCTCGTATTCTCACCTCTTGTAGCCGCCACTCGCTCGTATTCTCACCTCTTGTACCCGCCACTCGCTCGTATTCTCACCTCTTGTACCCGCCACTCGCTCGTATTCTCACCTCTTGTAGCCGCCACTCGCTCGTATTCTCACCTCTTGTAGCCGCCACTCGCTCGTATTCTCACCTCTTGTACCCGCCACTCGCTCGTATTCTCACCTCTTGTACTGCCACTCGCTCGTATTCTCACCTCTTGTACCCGCCACTCGCTCGTATTCTCACCTCTTGTACCCGCCACTCGCTCGTATTCTCACCTCTTGTAGCCGCCACTCGCTCGTATTCTCACCTCTTGTAGCCGCCACTCGCTCGTATTCTCACCTCTTGTACCCGCCACTCGCTCGTATTCTCACCTCTTGTACCCGCCACTCGCTCGTATTCTCACCTCTTGTACCCGCCACTCGCTCGTATTCTCACCTCTTGTAGCCGCCACTCGCTCGTATTCTCATCTCTTGTACCCGCCACTCGCTCGTATTCTCACCTCTTGTACCCGCCACTCGCTCGTATTCTCACCTCTTGTAGCCGCCACTCGCTCGTATTCTCACCTCTTGTAGCCGCCACTCGCTCGTATTCTCACCTCTTGTACCCGCCACTCGCTCGTATTCTCACCTCTTGTACCCGCCACTCGCTCGTATTCTCACCTCTTGTACCCGCCACTCGCTCGTATTCTCACCTCTTGTAGCCGCCACTCGCTCGTATTCTCACCTCTTGTAGCCGCCACACGCTCGTATTCTCACCTCTTGTACCCGCCACTCGCTCGTATTCTCACCTCTTGTAGCCGCCACTCGCTCGTATTCTCACCTCTTGTAGCCGCCACTCGCTCGTATTCTCACCTCTTGTAGCCGCCACTCGCTCGTATTCTCACCTCTTGTACCCGCCACTCGCTCGTATTCTCACCTCTTGTAGCCGCCGCTCGCTCGTATTCTCACCTCTTGTAGCCGCCGCTCGCTCGTATTCTCACCTCTTGTAACCACCGCTCGCTCGTATTCTGGCCTCCAGGTCCGGGGCGTTGAGGCTGGGCCAGTGCACGATGCACACCAGATGCCACAGCATCTCGTCCTCACACGCCTGGTGGGCACACCATGTGGCGCACCACACGCACACAGCACAGAACACACAGAACAGACAGGCGTCAGATTGGACGCACTTTTGAAAGTTAAAGAAAGTGACTCCAGCACAGCACACCATGTGGCGCAACACACGCACACCTGACAGGCACACACACAACAGAGAGTGAGAAGAGAGAATGTGGGGGGAGACATAGGGACAAGGGACAGAGAAAGTGACAGACACAGCCAGCGAGCCAGCGAGCCAGCACAGAGGAATGTCACACAATCGCATGTTGCACACAGGAGGACGATCACAGGGCATACGAACACAGGTCGCAAGAACTGCACACCATGTGGCGCAAGCCAACAGCACGGCACGGCATGGGATGGCACGGCATGGGATGGCACGGCATGGCATGGGATGGCACGGCATGGGATGGCACGGCATGGCATGGCACGGCATGGGATGGCACGGCATGGTATTGCACGGCATGGGATGGCACGGCATGGGGTGGCACGGCATGGGATGGCACGGCATGGGATGGCACGGCATGGGATGGCACGGCATGGGACGGCACGGCATGGGATGGCACGGCATGGGATGGCACGGCATGGGATGGCACGGCATGGGGTGGCACGGCATGGGATGGCACGGCATGGGATGGCACGGCATGGGATGGCACGGCATGGGATGGCACGGCATGGGGTGGCACGGCATGGGATGGCACGGCATGGGATGGCACGGCATGGGATGGCACGGCATGGGACGGCACGGCATGGGATGGCACGGCATGGGATGGCACGGCATGGGATGGCACGGCATGGGGTGGCACGGCATGGGATGGCACGGCATGGGATGGCACGGCATGGGGTGGCACGGCGTAGCCCCTAACGAGTGCCGTGCATGGCGTAAGGAGTGTGCTGCTCTGCTCCGTACCGCACGCCACCTGCTCCTCCTCCCACCACATCCGCTTCACCTCACACCCTACCCTACCCCACCCTCCCCCACTTACCCCTTTTTCCCCCTCCCCCCTCTTCCCCACTTCCCCGTCACCCCCCTTCCCCGCCCCCTCCCCTCCCTTTAGCCCCTTTCCCTCCTCGCCTTGCCTCACATTCCCCCAACTCCCATCACTTCCAGGCCCCAGAACAGAGAAGACAGAGGGCCGCAGAGAGAGCCTTACCCCCCCACCGGCACACGCTTCTCTTCTCTTCAAACCCCCCCACCCGTTCCCCCCACCCCTTTCCTCACCTCCCCTTTCCCTCCCTCCCATTTCCCCCTTCCCCGTTGCATCCCTCCCCTTTTCCCCCTTCTCTCCTCGTCTCCCTTGCCTGACATCCCCCCAACTCCCATCACTCCCAGCCCCCAAAGCTGAGAAAAAAGGGACCGCAGACCCTAGGGAGCGCCTTACATGGCGGAAGGAGCGGCAGAGGCAGGCTAAGGTAGCAAGCCCGCGCGGGGAGAGGCGGCCGCTCTGCAGCAGCAGGTACACCACCGTGTGCTCCGTGCCGCACGCCACCTCCTCCTCCTCCCACCGCACGCGCTTCGCCGCGCCCCCGCCTCCCTGCGCCTCCCCTCGCGCCGCCGCTGCTGACGCCGTCCAGAGGCCCGGGCGACCTGACGGCAGCGAAGGGGAGGTAACGGGATTCATAAGAGCGATGCACGATGTGTAGCTTGCGTTCCACCTAGGAGCTCCCCTCGCGTCGCCGCGGCCGGCGCCGTCCACAGGCCCGGGCGACCTAACGGAACCGAGGGGGAGGTAGCCGGAAGATTCGGGGAAATGGGGGCGGCAGCGCGCCCCGTGCTGTGACTTGCGAAACGATCGATTCTTTTTCTCTCTTTTTTGTTCCACCTACGGGGTAACGATTGGAAACGCGTATACGGAAAAGCGGAACGAAGCCGAAACGACGTCGAAAATGGTAAGTACGCCTCCTTGGCAACGCTACTCTCTGAATATTATAGACGACCGAAGATACCCCGGTGACTTTTGAGTTGACTCAAAGGTCACCTGGTATGTCTCCTTGGCAACGCTACGCTCTGAACAATATAGACGACCGAAGAATGGTATCGCGAGGCCGTAGGGTTCCTTCTCCCAGCCAAGTTGCTCCTTCGAACGACCCGAACAGCATTCCGTTAATACCGGCGAAGTAGTGACGCATCATCTCGACCATAAGAAGCTGCCACGAATCCGACGGAGACACGTCAGCTAGCTAACCGTTAACCGTTAACGACACGCATAGTCGAACGAATCCCGCGGGTTGTGAAATCCGAGCTGGCAAGCAACCCTAAAATAGGCACTTAGAAACGACCTCGATAACCGCCAGAGTTATCGTGACTAAAAGCCGGAACTACCCTGCAGAAGCTGGCAGAGGCAAGAACTTACCCTAGTAACTAACCACCAACCTGCACTAGCTGTCGCATCACCAAACCTTCTATTCACCATCGCAACACCTAATATGCAGAAACCGTCCTAACCCTAACCTGCAGTAGCGCTGGTGACGTGGCCGATTAGTCGCCGCACCAGCTGCCACATGGCGGCTGCGCAGAGGAGGACGGGGTGAAAGAGCGACAGGAAAATGGTGATCGGGGTCGCCAGCCAGATCCAACGGCTAGGAGCGAACGGAGCGGGAGGAGCGGCGTTTGGAGAAGGAACGGCTGCGAGAGTCGACGGCACGGCTGCGAGAGCAGATGGACTTGCGCGACGCGTGATGCTCGTTTCAATGGTCGTGGCGCGAGGTTCGGTGTCAGAAACCGGTTCAGGCGCTTCGGCTACTGGTCGAAAAGATGAAGGCGCTGCGAGATGGTCGATGGCACTGTCAACGGCTGAGATGCGAGGGATTATTTGCGACGCAGTCGCCGGCTCTTCGGTTACGACTCCGGGCGACGACGGAAATGCGAGTTGCGTCACGTCACCGTCAGACGATGCGGTTCGCGGAAAGATCTCGGGTACAGGCGACGCGGTGCGAGGTGGGATGTCGGTAAGAGGCCCTGGCTCTTCGCTGCACGGTACGGCTGGAGCTGACGTGGAGGCTGACGGAGCCGTGGGATAGGTATCGATAGTAGCAGCGGCGACAGCAGAAGTCACGTCAGTGATAGTGGTCTCATCAGCAAAAGGGGTTGTGACAGCGAGAGAAACAGCGGAAGCAGCAGCAGCAGCAGCAAGAGAAGCAGCAGGAGATGAGGACGCAGTAGCAGGGGGAGGAGCGCGAGTGAGACTGCAGGAGGCTGCGTGGAGAGGCGTTGCGTCGGTTAGATGCATCCGAGCATGGAGAGACAGCGCGATCCACGGACCGCACCTACAGAGTAAACCTAAATGTTTTGTCAAACCCTGTTCATAGAGTGAGACCCGAAGCGTGGGAATTTCGCAGCTTGCGTCTCGTCATAGTTTGCTGAAGCTTCAAGTCAAAAAAAGGATGGTCAACTCGTAGCGGCAAAGAAACAGCTGTTGTACTCCTACTTGTAGAGGTCATTGGGTAGCCATAAACTGTACCGACGCGAGGCAAACCTAGTGAGCCAACAGCATGATGGGGTGGGTGGGAACACGTCCGGTCTAGGTCGTGAAGGGAACAGCAAAGGATGCAGTGCAGACAAAAGCCACTGTAATCGAGGTGGATGGGAATATCATACGTACCATACCAGCAACGTAGCTCCACGGCTCGTGGCAACAATGGCAAGCTCGATGGGAACAGGCAGATTCTAGAAAAGGACGAGGTGGAAGGAGGCGGAAGAAGGAAGCCAGTTTGAGGGCGTGGTCTTTCGGAGGAATCTGCAAACGATTCTTCACCTCGGTTGTCGATCTTCGTTCTTTATTTGAAACGAGATATCACGCTGTACGTTACGGACGCACTTGTGATGTCGCAAAGCGCGATGATTGGGCATCTACAGAAAATGGTGCGTGACCGAAACTTTCACGATGGGTTACTAGAGACTTCGGATGGCAACGCAACTTGCAGCGCGCAGTGTTGAAAACTGGGACTGGGGGCTAGCTGGGTACAGACGGAAGGTAACTGACTGAGGTGCGAATCAGCGGTGATCCGTGAAGGGACAAATGACGGAGTTTGACGGCTTTCAAACGCCCATTTGGCTCGGGGAGTTTGTTCGGTGGCTTGGTCCTGCCGAACCAGTGCTTCTGACCGAATGTCAACGCAACGGGACGAATGTTTGGTTGGTTAGGGACACACCACGAAGCCCAAAGGCAAGGTTACGGGCGCCTCGGCAGTTGGTTTGGTGGTCTGACTACGATCTCCAAACCATGATCGATTGGTTAAGGACGCGGTGAAAGTAGACAATCGATCGTCAGTCGCGATCGATATGCGGATTGGTTACCCTATTAACTACGCTGTAACCATGCTACAGTACGCTTTTTGGCCAAAATTTCTGTGCAGTGTGTGAATGCGACTGATCACTGATAGCAGGAGATCTGTAAATTCTCAGGTGCGATCGTTACAACGTTGCGGTCGCCACGTTTCGTCAATCGATCTGCCCACTCGATTGTGGGGCTCGATATTTGCAGACGATCCTGCGATACTTGCACTTTCACCGCGTCCTAACCCTGGTTCGGTTTGCCGAACTCGGTGCGCGCAACTCAGTGAAAGCCACATAACACTACACTCTAACATTTGATCTCGTATGTGTTGGGCTGAGAAAAAGCCCTTAGGATCTTTGCAGGGCTAAACTCTGGGTAGGAATGTTGTAGTTGCGGAAGCGTGTAATGATAAGTCCTTGAACCACCTTGCGCTAGTATGTGAGGGCAAAGTAGATTAATTAAAACAAGGAGATACAAGGTTTTATAAGAGTAAAAGGAATATGAAGAGATACAGTTAATAACTGTTTTACTGTTGCTGTTGCGGTTCGATACAGTTACGACTCGAGCAACTGCTCTGTATCGAGTCAGTTGTTTGTCCTTGCTGTCGCACTGTATTGTTAAGTCAAAGGTCGCTGACCTTTGACCTTCGCGTAACCTCCAGCGGTTACTTCAGTCTTCAACCTCCGATGGTTGACTCGCCGATGCTTCGTTTGTGCTTCGCTTCGTTTACGACTTGGTGTTTCGATACAGCAGAAGCGCTTAAATCACTTGTTTCCAACAGTATGCATATGTACGGAACAGTTCATTTGGCTAAATAACCCAAAAGTGGAAATAATAATAGGTGTTATAAGCCATAAGATTAAACTATGTAATAGGTTCTGATCCTACATGAATGGGCTATTTCTATGGACAGGACATGTCACTGTGATAGACACATCAACTCATAGACTGTGTGGCAGCAATTTCGTTTTTTAGTGTCTCTAGCTCCAACACAAGCTTCATCATAGAGGGCCAGGAAGCGAGTGACATGGCAGTGCAGGAGACATCGCAGTGCCACACGCATAAACCCAAAGACTATTTCTGCGCAGACATCAACTGAGACTGTTGCTGTGCGGGCAAGACCTCGTTCCTGAGCGTCTCTAGTTCCAAGACAAGCTTCATCATGGAAGGGCGGGAGGCGAGAGACATGGTGGTGCAGGAGAGGGCGAGGTGGAGAAGGCGCAGCACTGCGGGCTGCGGCATGGCCAGGCGTGGATCGACCACTTCTAGGAGGTCCGTGCTTGCGGGCAGCTCTGGTGGTGGCTGCAGGAGCAGTGAGGGAGGGATGGGAGGCAGGGAGGGAGGAATGGGAGGCAGGGAGGGAGGGAGGAGTGGGAGGCAGGGAGCAAGAGTGGATGATCATATGTCACAGGCCTCCTGCATTGAAAAAGTTGGAAGACATATGGGTAGTGGTGTGTCGAGGAGGAAAGGACATGGAAGGAATGTGGTATGCTTGTGGGCGTGCGTCTCCGTGCGAGTGCACGGATCTAGGAGAAAGAGGGGGGAGAGGATGAGGGGGAAGAACGAAGGAGGAGGAGGAGCAGGAAGATACATGCAATCCAATGGCCTGGCATCTGAAAAACGACAAAATGAACAGTGATTTCTCAAAGTCATAGCACCAAAGTAGAGGGAAAAGCAGAGGCATAAGTGGCAGAGGAGTGGGGGCAGAGGGAGGAGAGGCAGCAGAAGAAGAGGGAGTGGATTAGAAGAAGAGGGAGTGGAGCGTACATCCATTGGAAGAATGGCAGCGGGATCGTCCAGCTTCGCACTGTGAGCATCTGGGTGCAGCTGCTGGGACACCTGCATGGATGGATGGGTGCAGAGCGGTTGTGCACGGTGTGAAGGGGTGGAGAAGGTTGAGTTCCCGTGGAACAGTGCATCAAGACGAGGGAGATTGCATGGTGAGGGAAGATGGCAAGCCGCCAAGAATGGAATGGGGGAGCTGAGCGTGCACGTGTCACTTGTGAGAAATCTAAAAGGTGAATCAATGTGCACAGGAATAAACCCTACAAGTAGTAAAAGAGCATGCCGCCTGCCCAGTCTCGGAGGTGAATGGGTTGTTAATCAATTCGCTTTGAGACGTCTCAAACCGAATTTATTATCACGTGATTGGTGAAAGTGCAGGCTGATAGAAATGGAGCTGAACTGATTGATTAGTCAAGAAGGCGCTAGGCCTTAAGTACAAACAAGGTTGGGTTGGGCAAAGCTAGGGAAAGGATGGGATGTGAATCCTAGCAAATCTCCAATTGGTGAGTTGGCAGATTTGCTGGATTATGAGGGAATCCCAACCAGATAGGGTTGGGATT